TCATGTCATGTAAATTATATTTCAATAAAATTGATATAAAAATTAATATGCTAATATAAATGCAAAATTGAATCTCTAGTTTTATACATGGCTAATTATCTGGGTGAGAGAAAAGTCCCTAAATCTTTTTAAATTAAAAAATTTCAATTACAAAAGCAGTACATGCTTATTTTGGAAAGGTTAAAACAGAGCAACTATGAAGAGAGAAGTCATCTTTAACACAACCACAGCCTCTAGAGATAACTTGCTATGAAGGTTACTCCCTTTCTGTGCCTTTTCAAAGCTGGTAAATTTTTAAAAATGAGGAGCTAATCTACGCTTTGCTTTCACTTGTGCTTACACAAGAACTATCACTGACATTGTATCTGTTATTATTGACATTACCCACATAATATCTTCTGCAGTGTAACAAAAGCACATGCAGGACTGGAGCAAGAACTGTTTCTGCTCCATGGCTGTACTGCAGAATCACTCCGGAAGCCTTGACAAGCCATGCTCAGGCTTCAACAAAACCAAATAAATCAGAATTTTCCAGGGTAGGAAAATTCAGGTTCCTAAGTAATTCTAGTGTGCAGTCACATGCAAGAAACACCAGGCTTAAGTAAGACTTCTGCCATCCCAGATCTCAGTCTCCAGAAGCACTGACTTGAACATATTCCCAAAGCTGCATTTGCATTTCTTTATTTATGGTAAGGTTAAGTGTCTTTTATAATTTTGTCACTTATATTTTTCTTTCTTTTTTTTTTCCAGTTCTGGGGATTGAACCCAGGACTGGGTTCATGTTGTGCATGCTAGGCAAGAATTCTACTGCTTGAGTCATTGTCCCAACCTTTTTCCCTTTTTGTTTTGTATGGTTTTTTTTTTTTTTTTTGGCGGTACTGGTGTTTAAACTTGGGGCTTCACACTTGCTATGCAGGTACTCTACTACTTGAACCATGTCTCCAGCCCTGTATTTTGTTTTTGAGATAGTGTCTCCCTAACTTTGCCTGGGTCCTCAAACTCCTCCTGCTTTCACCTCCTGAGTAGCTGAGATTACCCAGGGTTGTCATTTATATTTTTCTGAACTGTACCTATTCAGAGCCCTTCCAAATACTTCTATTGAGTGAATGATCTTTTTTCTTACTTATTCTTAAGAGGTCTCTCTTCTTATATAAAATAAATCATGTCACTTAAAAAAAAGCCTACGGAAATGACTGTGAACATGACATTTTTCTTGGCTCTGTAGATACATTAAACTCATTTAATGCCACAATACAACGAGGTAGGTATCAACATCAATCCTGTCTAAGACACGAAACCTCAGCACGAAGATATTAATTAAACATTGGAGGTGGGATTTGAATCTAGGCACCCCAGTTCGTCCCAGCTACTTGTACTATGCTGACTTATACAGAACAGCTGCAAATAGTGGACTTAAGAATTCAACCAATTACATTATATGCACGTATGAAAGTATCATAATGAAGCCCTTTCATACTATCAATATATGCTAAAAAAAGAATGTCAACCGAGGTAACCATACATCAGAGAATGTGTTAAATCTGGTCACTGCCAAAGGCTGTGGCAGAACAGCACTGTCTGTATGCTAGCCACATATGGCTTTGCACAGCTGGGATATAGTAGGACTAAACTTAGATGTATGGTAATGTGAAATACAAACCTGATTTCAAATATCTCAATAATTTTTAAAATACTGATTAGTTCAATATGATGATATAGTACAATAACATTATTTTGAACATACTGAGTTAAATACATGTCATTTAAATAGATCCAACTGTGTGTACTACCATGCCTGCTTTTTTTTTTTTGTCTATTTTTAAATGTAGCTACTAGAAAATATAAAATTATTATGAAAACTGCATCATACCTCTTTTGGTCAGTGTTGTTCTAGAAGGATGTATTATGGCCAAAAGAGAAGTATGGAGGGACTAGTCAGGATTCTAATAGCATAGCTGTCTTTGAGGTGCATGGGTTAAAGATACAATAGAAAATGAGGCAAGTGTTCTTCAACCTACCTGTTACAAAAATTTTGATGGCTTCTGGGGGATATAAACAGTCATGAGGAACCTCAACCCTACTGCTGGTAATTACAAAGAAATGGGTTGAAAAACAAAGAACTAAAGGGCAGGGGAATAATTTTGTTCCTTCTTCTATCTGAAGTACAAATCTTTGAAGGACAAATGAGGCTGTGACATGCTCCTTAGAACTGAAGTCTTACCTACCCCTCCCACTTTTAGTTTCCACAGGTGAGTGTCTATTTCACATACATACTCTCTCTGTTATAATGTATTATTTAACTAACAGAGCTGCTTAGAATATGCCACAAAATTATTTGAACACTGATCATCAATTTGTATTGCTTAGGCTCCATAAATGTTCAGAAAATAATTTATAATCTCTAGCTTCCTTCCCTAAATTATAAATCAGAACATTGAAGGGACTTGTAGGATTCAAACTGAAAGAGGCCGTACCTCAAATTGAATATTCAGTACTTACCCCATCCAGGTTGTACTGTACATAGTCTATAAATCTTCACTAAATGCATAAAAGAGGTAGCACAGTGGAAGTAAGTTCATAACTAAACAGTATGGACAAGGCAAAGACTGGACATTTTAGAATGGCATGTTGCCTATTACTGATGGATACTGAAACAGATGGGATTAAGTACTTAGAAATGAAGAACTAGGAGTCAGAAAAGTTCTCCTAAAATCTGACTTCATATTCTCTCCCTTCTTCTCTCTTTCCAGTACTGGGCCTTGAACTCAGGGCCTTGCACATGCTAGTAAGGCACTCTACCATTGAGCTCCTCCCCCACTACTTTAAATATAATTTCAGGGGGCTCTAAACCAGATTAAGAATCCCTGGCTTAGAAGCTCTAAGGACTCAGGTGTCATTTCATATAAGAAGGTATTTTTCCCTGGATCTCTGAAGTGATACTTTTGAGCAGAGAAAGTGATAAGTTGTATCAATGCGCAAAGGAATAAGGGAGGAGTCTAGCCAGTAACCTGAAGGGTGCTATCCAATATGAGAATTCCCTAGTCTAAAAAGAATTTTTAAGCAATTTCACAATATTAAGATAAGTATTTTAAATGCTACTTGTTATTGTTCTTTATGTAAAAAAGGACAATACATTACATTCTAATAATCAAAGCAGGATTTAAACAAAGATCATCTAGGCACCAACTTGACTTACTGGATGTGTATGAAGAGGATTTTATTCAGTAGATGCCCAACTACAATGTCAACAGGTACATAAATTATTTATTGAATTACAAGCAATACAATAGTTTCTCCACAAGTCGCTTTTGAAAAACTTGGCACCACTAAGAGGCATGATTGCAGGAGGTTTAAAGCAGTTGTGATAGAAATGCTTGTTTTGAATTTGGTTATAAAGACTTTTCTAAGCAGGCAGTACAGGTCCTCACCACAGGCCATTCCTACTAGTGATCTTACTGGCAGCAGGACAAAATTTCTTTCTTCTGCAGATCTATGTTCTAGGTAACCTGCAACCATGTAAACCTCAAGAGCATTTACATATTAACCGAGAGAAGGAGAAGAGCTATATCTTGATTTTAATGGTGTTTACATATTAACCCGAGAGAAGGAGAAGAGACGTATCTTGATTTTAATGAATAGGAAGCAAATCATGTGAGAGTGATATGTATTTCTTTAAAGCTCAGGTTCTCAGAAATATTAAATAGGATAAAACATCATTCTGAAAAATTAATCCTTAGTTTTGCTTGAATTTCTTCTATTTAAGTTCTTATCTGTAGTTCTGCTAACATTCTTGAAAGAGTTCCAACCCTGAAATAATTATAGACATATTATATTCAAAATTACTCGTGCTCTCTACCTACATAAATATTAAACTATAATGAGGTTTTATAGATGTCTGTTGTCAATACATGGTGCTGCTGCTCTGAAATGATTTTGCAGTCCAAGAGAGCTGCAAGTCTCAAGGAGAAGCGGTGTGCATATATGTGTGTGTGAAGGCGAGTGCATGTGTATGCTGATAATTCATCAATGCAATTCTAGTGATAGACATTAGTCACTAGAAGCCCCAATTTTATCACTGTTATTTTTCTGTAGGGGCAAAGTCAAGATATTATTGCATCCTTTCATTTGTCTATTTTATGCAATTCCCATTACTTGAATTTCTCACTAAAATAAACCCTTAGAAATAGAAGACAAAAAAATTTACCATCACTGATAGATTTTGAATGATAAGGAGTGTTTGTTTTTATTTATTTATTTTTTTCCCTGTAGATCAAGTAATAGCCTTCCAGCAAAAGACTAATGACAGTGGACTGATTTTTCAATGGAAAGGATTGTCAAATTCCATCAAAATCTGTCATATCGTTTTCTTAGCTCTCAACAAAAGAAAAGCCATCTAGACATTAAGGAACACAGAGAATTTCAGGAGTTATTTTAGAATTATACCGTTCATTTTCTTTAGCTGTAAATACAGCTGATGAGAGTTATTTAGGATAGTGAATTTTAAAGTTTAATGTGTAGCAGAATTATCAGAAGATTTATCAACATATAGATAAATCTATATATCACTATAGTTTCTGACTCACTGGGTATAAGGGGGATTAGGAATCTGCATTTCTAACAAGTTTCCAATGATGCCGCCCTGGTTGAATGCTGGTAAGGCAATCTGGTATTCACCCAGTTGTAATATCGTATTTCCTCTCTTAATTCAAACATCCATGCCTGAGGTTCTTGAGTCATATTCTAGACACTTCCTAAAACAGTGGGGACACTCTGACTCTTTAGAACCTAGGTAAGCCACATCTATCTCAAATGATGCTATGGAAACTCATAGCAAAGAAAGCAGTCCTCTTCTCGAAGAAGAAATCAAACTCGTTCTTGAGTCCTTCCCCAACATCTTCAAACCTTTGGCTAAGGATTTGAAGTGAAATTCAAAAGGAAAATGTTTTACAAAGCTTATTTGGAAGGGGTGACACTATCAGAAAGAAGATTAGTATACTCACCAGATAGGAAATATACCCAGCCGTGTGATGATAAAAACCATGGCAAACATAACAAACAGGAGGTCACACATTTTCTGAAACTTGGCATAGTTTGCCATTTTGGCAGCCTATGAAAGGAAGAAATGTAATATATTAACTTAGTTAAACTGATAAGTAAAAAGTTTCCTTCAATATGCATGAGCTCCCTGTAAGATATAGCTCACCAGATGCATAAAATTGCCTGCTACACTAAAATGTCATGCATCATGCATCAGTATTTATAAATTACCCATAAGTTGTGTGGAATGCAGCATTAACCATAAGCAGAACTACTGACTGTCATGGATTTAATAAAATATTCAGCAACCTGGAAAATTCAATTATATGGTTGATTTCAGGAAAACAGAGAGGAAAAATAAGAAACTTTTGCATTATAGATGACATTAGAAAGCCAGAGACACCAAAGCAGAAAGCTGGCATAAGAAGTCAAATACAAAGTATTGGATAATTCTTTAAACCTTTACTGAATTCCAAATGCTGAGGCCACAAACTTTGTAAGAATATATGGAGCTATTCTGCATTTGTCTTCATTTTGACTTCAAACTATAGGTTTTCATTTAAAAGGCCCAGGAAGTACTTTGGGAAGACAATTTCCTGGCTCATTCTCATAAATTTAGACATGAAGAAAGGGCCAGAATTATGTTACTTGAACTAATCCACTTTAGTATAATTTTCAAAGTTACATTACTGAGTCATTTCCTAGAGGAGACTCACTAATGTTCAAAGAGTCTGTAAGAAGTACTCTCAGAATATGAGAGTGGTTTAAGTGACCACATTTTTTTATATAATAAATTAGTCTAGGGAAGAAAGCACATCCCTTCCTCTGCCATCACTGTTTAAGGTGATTCTAAGGAAGACACTGAAAGCAGAATTTCGTTTGATTACTTCTTTTTACATTTTTTTCATAGAACTCACAGTACCTACATGCAGTTATAAATTGAAGATATCTCCTTCATTCACAACATTATTTTCTACTTCCTAGAAAATTACATTAAGTTGCCCAGGTTGACTTATAACCATGATCCTCCTGATCTCTGCCTCCTAAGTAGCAAGGATTACAGGCATGAGCCACTGGCACCTGGCTGGATTATTTTTTCTTGTGTGGATAAAAGTGGTGTATGACAATTCAATCAGTATTTTCTCTACCAAACATCATGCCAGCAATGTCCACAGGAATTAAAGATGGCTGACTACACAGGACTGATTTCAAAATTGAAAATTGCTGCACAGATTTCTACTTCTAAGCATACATAGGATTTAACCAAATTGTAACGATTTACAGGGGACTTTGCTTATACTACATATATTTCTCCTTTTCAAAATACATTGTATAGCGTTTAGTGTGAATTACTTAAAAAGTCACAGCCTCAAACTATCTTCTGACTTACCTAGTCTATTAGGACCATTTTTCTGTTTCATAATGTCAAAGGTACCAGAATTTTTAATAAAGTGTTGTAATCTAACTTAAACCTTCACTAATTGCCCTTATGGTAGATTCAATTTTATAAAAATTCTGCTCATATTGCAGTAACACTTGATTAGTGGAGAACACCTCTATTCTATGTTTATAGTAACAATAGATGCTTCAAAGGTTGCAAAATTGGGCTAACTGGAGTAAAAAAATCAGAGTACAGATTCTAAGATCCATTTCTACATGAAATTTGTAGTTTTGTAAGTTAGTTTTGACTGGTTATATAAATTTCTTATATGAAGTAAAAAAAAGTTCTATTATTGAGTGTGACTCTTAAAACGGTAAATTCTTTACACAGTTTCTATATATAACATGCAATTTGTATGCCTATTCCCACTGTGAAATTGCAAGGATAATAAAAGCTAAATTTTATTGGTATGTACAGTTCCTATTAACAACTAAACTGGGTTATATAAAATTTTCAAATAAATCAGTATGCAACTTACAACTCAAAGCATATTAAAATAATGACTTGTAAAATTAATCAATTAATCAATTAATTGATTAATTTTACATTAGTAAAAGTTTTCATCATCCTATTAATAAAAATGTTAACATGTGTAACTTTTTTTAGTATAAATTTTGTATGTCAATTTAAGGTCTCATTTTCACCAATTTAACTTATAAAGAAATACCCCTCAGTTTTGAAGAACCACCTATCATAACAGAAGAACTGGTGGTCTTAGGGACTGCAAGAATTCTGGATTTTGTATTCTTAAAGATGAAGGGAGATTTTTACCTCTAGAAGAGCATCCGCTGAGTCGTGAAGACAAAGGACCAAGGTTCCAACTCGGGCCATATTGTTGACATATGAAAAGGTAATCAAGAAAATGGATACAATGTGGTGCAGGAACATAATGCCAAAGTCCTTAAGGAAGGAAACACAGCCACGTTAGGGTTTAACACGGTTTAACACTATTTCCATCCATCCTTTCAGCCACAAAACCAACACCTCCATAGGCCTGGCACTGTGGATACCAGCATTAGTAGGATGTAATTCCTGCCCTCTAGGAGTCCACTACATAGTAGGAGAGACACACAGTAGGAAACCATTGCTCAAGGAGAATGTGGCTGAGCCAGGACAAAAGCCAGATCTTGGATGGTGTTTTGTACTAAGCAAAAAATTTGAAGCTGTGGGAGAAATCAGCACAGGATTTAAGCAAAAAGAATACTACTTGGGTTTGAACTTTGTTATGGTTTGAATAATCCAAAAGGCCATGTTTAAAGGACTGGATGCCAGATGATGGTGCTATTGGTGGAACCTTTAATAGATGGGCTGAGTGGGAGGAAGTTAGGTTACTGGGGGTGTTCCCTTGAAGGGGATATTAAGACCTGGGCCCCTTCCCATCTCTCTTTTTTTGCTTCCTGGTTTTCATGAGGTGAGTAGCTTCCTCTACCATGTATTGCCTCACCACTGGTCAAAAAGCATCATGCTAAATGATCATGAACTGAAACCTCTAAAACCATGAGCCAAAATAAACCTTTCCTTATAATAAGTCGATTTATCCCAGGTATTTGTGACAATAATGAAAAGCTGACTGACACACAAACTTTAAGATCTTTGGAACTGGGGGTGTAGGTGAGTGGTAGAGGGCTTGACTGGCTAACATTAATGAGGACCTATGTTTGATCCCCAACTCTACACACATGCAAAAAAAAAAATCTTTGTGGCAACACTACAGGTCCACTTCTCTGCTAACTAGCGATGAAAGCTTCTGAGCTTCTGGGGGTATATGCTGAGTTTTTGACTAGCAGGTGGCATCTTTGAAGAGATTGCCAATTAAGGTGAGAGGAGAAGGGTGTCAAATGGCTCTCAGGCCTGACAGTTTGCTGTTACAGAAAGCCTGAGAAGCCAGATAGTGAAGTTTTAGATGGGGGTATGGTCTGAATGTTTGTACCTGCTTTTCCCTCAAAAATTCATGTTGAAAATCCTATTGCTCAATGTGATGGGGCCTAAAGTCCCAAGGAGGTGGGGCCTTTGGGAGGTGGTTAGGTCACAAGGCCCCACCTTTCGTGAGTGGGGACAGCACTTCTTACAAGGGGCTCCAGAGCACCACCCTGGCACTTCCTTCATGTGAGGACACAGCTAGAAGGTGCCATCTTTAAGCCAGGAAATGAGCCCTTGTAAGACAACAACTGTCAGCGCTTTGACTCAGACTTCCCAGCCTTGAGAACTGTGTATGAAGAATAAATTTCTTGTTCATAAGAAATGCTACTGAGCCTAAATAGGTTAAGACAAGTGGTGACTATTTTTTGTTAACTCATGGATTTCTTGAACCATACATCTCAATGTTAGCATCTTTCTCCATGGTAATAAAAAATATTTAGCAGAAGTTAATAATAAATCAACTATGCTTATTTTGGCCACCTTCAAGGAAGCCACTTCTTGGCCCAAGTGCGATTATCTTTCTCTGATATTATTTTCTGACAATCTGGACATAGTTTGTTGTAACATGGAACTTCTGTTAACTACAAATACAGTCTCTTAGGCTGATTTTTATTCTAATCTGTATTTCATCCAAAGTAAACTGAATTTTTCTCTCCTTTTTTTTCTTGATGGTACTGGGGTTTGAACTCAGGCTCCCACACTTGCTAGGTAGGCACTCTACCATTTGAGCCATTCTGCCAGGCTAGTCTGCCAGAACTTAAGGACCAAGATTGGCCCTGATATTCTCTTCTTGAAACTTTTTTGAGGAAGAGGACTACTTCCCTACAGATCATTCATCTAGAGACAGATAAATTAGCAAAAGTGAAAAGTATACTGCAAAACTGACCTATGCATAAATCCCGATTAAGGAAAAAAGCTATATATGAGTTACATCTGGGGAACTCTTCCTAAATTTCCTTGGAAGTTAACATTCATGTAGCCATTTCATCACTAAAAATGCTTTTGCGCATTTACTGTGTTGTAGCCACTGTTCTAAGCTTTGGAGGTAAATAAATAAAGAAAATAGACAAAGATTTCTGTCTTTGCAGTGCTCATACATTCTAGTTGGGGAAATGTGCACATTAAACATACTAAGTAATTTATCTTTTATGCTGGAAAGTAAAAAGTGCTATGGGGGAAAGTAATCATGATAAGGGGGTAGTAGGGAGCTCTGGTGGCAGTAGGAGACAGACTGCAATAGAAAATAGTGGGGTCAGGGCAGACTTAAAGAGGATGAGGGAGTTAGCCTTACAGATGGATGGGGGAGAATATTCCACTGAGAGAAAATGAACAAATCATAGGCTCCATGCATCATCATCTTCTATCCTAACATGTTCAAGGAACACCAGGGAAGTCAGTATGGCTAGAGAAAAGTGGCGGAGAGGTAGAGGTTAGACTGGCAACTTTATGCAGATTTTTTTTACTAGCTTCTTTCTATTTACATTATTTTAAAAAGTTGTTTTAACTTTGTTGAACAGAAAGTAATCACCTACTATTTAATCTTAGGCATATAGCTACTTTAGGTAATATTTGTACTCAAGGTGAATTGGAAAATTAAGAGAGGTCAACAATAAAATTATTTCTGGGGCTTTAAAGATGATTTCATTCACTGCTTTAGAGTAGCTACAAGGTACTCTAATAAGACTTCCAGTGAGCATCATAACAAAACAGGAGGACATTCCTTTGGGACTATTTTCAGTTTGTTCTGAGAATGAGTGTAGGGAACAATCCTCAGGTTGGTGGGTGTTCAGCCAAGCTACTTTGACCTTTTCTGATTTATACTGGCACTAGCAACTAGGCCAAGAACAGTCATCAGTTCCTTGCAGATTCAAGTTAATCTTTTACCCATAGGAAACATGGAGGCCTTTGGGGGTACATCCTCTTTGTCTGAATTGTCTTGTTCTTCCCCTTTGCAGCCATTTTACTCCCATAGCTTCTGCTCTGGGCAGAATCACTGGTTAGAAGGGCCACTTTTGGGGGACTCCCATTTGTCTATCCTAGCCCTGCAATTGCCTTTTCTGCAGCTCAGAGAGCTATCTACTCCTAATTTCGATTCTCTAGTTCAACCCAATTCAATATTTTTTGGTCAGTTTGTGGTTAAGGAAATTTCTATTTTAAAAGAAAAGACAAAAGCAGTTAAAGCCAGGGTCTTATTGACATGACTAGACTTCTGAAGAGTATTTGCATTTTATTTAGGTCAATGGACAATTACAGAGCACACCGGGCTCTAAATCATTAATTCTGTAATTTTTGATAAGGGCATCAATGTCTTCATCTGTACAATTAAGAGGTTGGGTTAGGTTACTAAAGTTGTCACTTCTATAATTCTAGGCTTGGTAGCTGCAGTAATGAAATGGCACTTGAAGTCATTAATCTACTAATTTCATACCTGTGTAAATTAGAAAAGAAAAGGAGCGAGCATGCACAGACATGGCTGCAGGAGCAGGCACACGCATTCTCTATTCAGCAGCTCAACAGCTGTGGGTATTTCTGCAGCTTGGGGTTTGAAAAGTCAATGTCAACACCTTTAATTGTTTAAATGGTTTTGTGTATACCCTGGCAACTATGCTCAGGGGTTCATTTTCTCCCCTGGAAAGTGCCTCATACTTGTGGGTAACCATACACACTGGCTTATTCCTGAGGTAAGCAGTAATACTAGGTTCCTCAATGAAGACATGCAATTTTTTTAAATGAGATGCAACTATTTCTCTTTCTCTAAACTAGTTGTGTTGCATCAATGGTGGAAACCACTGTAGAAGAGTAATCTGCCTCACTTCAGTTAATCCTCACTGCTCACAGCACAGCTGAGTATGGCAAATTCACATCAACCGTAGATGCCCCGTGAAGACTCCTCTTCCACACATTTACATCAGTTCTCAGCTCACCGGCAGACTTGACTGTGCTCTGATTTAATGAGGAACTGTGTATGGTACACCCTATTAGGTTTAGCTACTTCTGAAATTCTGACACTCTTTGTAGTATCTAAGGGTTTCCTAAGTCACTCACTAAAGGTAGACAATACCAAAATGCCTTGGGTGGACAATAAAAACTGGGTTGCAGGTGTTTCCCACTGGAAGATGAAAGCCGTCCTCTCCAGGTAATTGTTTATGATGTTCCATCAGCTGGAGTACAGACAACAGCTGCCTCAAAGCGATGGCTCAATTAAAGAAGAGCTAGCCTAGCAAATAATATTCTAAACTGCTTTTTAAGCACAACTAAATTAAAATACAGTGCTTAATTCAACAGCTCTATGTATTTATATTTGCCTATACTTAATATATAGACTTTGAGGTCTAAACAGCTGAGTGCCTAATCAGAAAAATACTCTCCACATTCATCATTGTTCAGTCCTGAATGATTGTTCTTGGCTCACTGAAAGAGAAAAAGAGGTTTTTAATTTTTTTCTTTCTAACTAACTTTAAAAATGAATAAACATAAATTGATGAAAACACTTATGGAGGATTAGGACCATTTTATAATTAAGTTTCCTGATTCATATCTGATGTACATGTCAATAACAATACAATGCCCTTAAATGTAGCAAGGCTCCTTTAAAAATAAAAGCCTCATTTTTCAGATAAATTTTGCTTTATGAAGATGATTTTTTTGCATATAAATCCCCTGGTTCTAGAAAACGTTTTATTACTGGGGGGCTCACAGTTATACTCATGGCAGACTAATTTTCATTACAGTCATATCTGCATGAATATTAAAAAAAAGCAGGAATAATGGATTTGGTCTTTTATATTTCTGCTTCAGAAAACATCAGATACACGAAGCACCTTTAATAACACCCATGGGGTCACGATTCTATGTGTTACTCACATCCTGTCTTCCCAACTTGTTCCTTTTGAGTAGGCACTGAATTTGGTCCAAATAACAGTTTATACACAAATTACTGATTTGGATTTTATCAACGCAAGGAGGAAAACCTTCATCTT